TTTAATTTTTTTAGTGGAATTTTCGGGAAAATTTTAGAGTAAAATATTGAATTCTTGAAAAATGAAATCTTGTGGATCTTTGAGTCGTAAAATCCTGGAATTTTTCAATGAAAATTTAGAGAAATTTGGTCTCTATCTTTTTTAACGGAAATCCTTAAAATAATTAAAGGTCCTTTAATCAAAAATTAAGTCCCGTGGCTCTTTAAGTCGCGAAAGCGTTGAATATTTCCATGAAAATTTTCCGGAGGAAGTTACAAAATGAAATATATTTCTATCTCACAGATGTTTATCAGTTCCATGTCACTCGTCGAAATGTCCGTTCGATAATAGTAATAGGTTCCTAAACGCAGTTGTCGAGAGATTAAATTCTTCCAATATCGATAAAAGTTTCGTGCTTATTCAAAGAGGAGGTGCAAACGCGCGGCATTATTCGGTGATTAATCATCGAGGATCCGATGTCGCTTGGAATACGCTATTACGAATAAAATTATTTATTCCAGGTCGATTTATCGTAATTGCAGCATAACTCCGGGTAACAAGGTTGCTGCAGCAGGGCGATACTCTGCGAAACGCAAGAATCTGAATACCAAAGATTCCAGGAATCACTGCAACTGGCCGATAAAACGTTTACACCTGAATCGATTAGCATCTTTCATTAAAATTAATGTGGTATCGATACTAATCCTCCTACGGTCGCTCGTGCACGCTCAATGCACACAAACGCGCTAATTAACTCAAGTATCAGCGTCAGACTGAAATGTATCGCTGCGTTGATTTTGATTTTACGAGCAGTCGCGCGTTACGCGCTATTTTAGAACCAATATTCGATATATTACCGGGCGAATATTACACCTGTCGTATAGCTCAGACAACAACCATGTTACTCGAGTCTGTTTTACCTTGAGAGTGATACCTGAGTCGACGTTTATCCACAGACGAAATACAGAAGAGACTTGTCATCTTATGGAACTTTACGTCTCACTTTCTGAAATACCGATTGTGTAAAAAATCAGGGGTTTTGTTATGACCTCTACGATAATAGAGCGATGAGTTTAAGAATTATACACAAAAGTCGACAGATATAAAAGATCTCATAGTTGTACTTTACTTGTAATTTCATATTTATGTTTTGTTTTAATTCCAACCATTGATAATTTTATTCTATACTCGATCAGTAATGCAGAAAGTAACACGTAAATGGTAAGGAGGCTCTAGAACCCCCTTGACGTGAGACAAAAAAATGCATTGGGTGATAAATCTACTTTCGTCTTACCTCGTCTGTGCTGTATCGAAAGATGCCTCCTGTCGCAGTCGACATCGACTGTGGGTTACTATTTCGAATGATCGATAAAAAAAATATGATTTAGTTAGTTCACTGATAATGGAGGACTTAAGTTTATTGTATCGAAGCTTCAAAAATTACACAAAACATAAAAAGATTGCAGAGCTACATAGTCATAGCGGTTGAAGTATCGACGTGTATCGAATTGATCGATCACCTATCGATCTATATTTCCTTCTTACATGTAATTAATAACGTGTTACTTTTTTAACGAATACAATGAAAGCATTTTTTTTTCTTTTTTATTATTCTCCCATCAACTATGCATATTGTGAGATAAAATTTTTAAAAGCGCGTTAATATTTTCCGAAGGCAAGAAATCCTCCGAGACGATTTTCGATATATCGATAGCGTTGTCTGCGGCGCCATTTAGTTTTTTGAACGCGTTTCGTGCGTACACCAGCTCGATTAAAACGTTCTTGAAAAGCAGCTGGAAAAGAGTGTGTTAAGTGTTTTGTGACTTTTGTGTGTTGTGAATCGAAAGATTAGAACCTGCTTACTTCCGTCCCGCTATAATTTGCAATGCCAACGCATCCCACGAATCCTTTTCCGTGAGTATAGTATCCCAATTTCCGCCTTCGTAATCCAAAGCTGAAAACTACGTTCTGTCTCCTGCATGTTTCGAGCAATTTATTCACTTGATCGTCCAATCCGTCTAAAATCACGCAATTGTTCACATTTTTTTTTTAATTTCTCCACTTTCGGTTCACAAGACACCGTGAATTTTACATTTACCTTCCAGTTCGACTTTCTCAATATCTGGCGCGACAATCACGAATTTAAGCTTCCTCAATTCTGCCTGCTTTCGAACTTCTCTCAAACCGGAGTAATATCGGCGCTTATACTGAGATTTGTTCGGATATTTTACGTGATATCTTTTTTGGAGCCTCGTAATTTCCTTTAGAAATTTTTCGAGGCTGTCGTTCAGGCTTGTCGTCAATATGTTTGTACAATATCTGTAAGGTACTTGTAGTTTGCAAAAAGATTGGAGAATTTAAGCGAGAAGAGGTTATGATCACGGATAAAAATGGAGCGGGAGATGTATAATTTGGCAGACATTTTAGTAGTACAATATATAATTATTTATTGCATGTATAAATAAGGATTGATGGGTCAAATGTACAAATGTATATTACAACTGTGTCGATACAACGGTGTGAAATAGCATATGGGTGTTGTACAGAAAATATAGAATCCTTTGTTACCTATTGTTATGTACAAATCACTGTACTTACTCTCTAAAATTGTGAGAAAATTTTATCAAGCTTTTATCGTCTATTTCTGCGCTATTTTCTTGGTTCGTGTCTTCTTCTATTTTAAGAGAAAAAATCTGGTCGACGATATCGTTTTCGACCATGCTCATTTGCGGTTGAGGGAACTCTATACGATTACCGTCTCCGACTGGTCTATACGTCAACTGCCTTCCTTGAATCTTCAGATTATTTATTTTGTCAATGACATCAGGTCTATGGCACAGAGTACTGTCGGAAAGATTTATCTCGTTTCTAACTCTGTAGTCGTTGCCATATAGTGTCATTGTACACATGCCTCTTGGATAATCCACGTCTATTTCCGGATCTGCTGTAATCTTCAAAGCATTAAAATTAATGGCATCCACATCTCTGCAAACAGTCTCTATCTTTGCACGTTCAAATGTTTCTCCCTTGTGTATGTTAATCTGTGCCTTCATGTCACGCTCGAATAATATGATTCTCTTCAATTTCGAGATCTTCTTGTCCTTTGAAATGCATATCCTAACTTTTCTAAGATCAGAACTTTTGTTTCTATCTAGCATGTTTGGCACTGTAAATCCTAGGTTTCCCATGTACAGATTAATCTTCAATTTGGGAAATTCTTTATTGTTCATTTTATTTAAACACCTAGTATTCTACAAGTGAGATTATAAAAATATTTAACATGTCATTGTACGATTATTTGGTCTGAAACACAATAACAATTACCTGCAAAGCTTCCTGAAGGTTGATACAAATTCTGTCTGACCGTTTGTACCTTTTTAAGGTTTTTGACCTCTTTGGTTCTATGTTTGTCTGCACAGGGACTAAAGTCTGTACACTGCAACTTGGCAAACATTCTTCTTTTGGTAGCACAGAATTTCTGCTCCTAACAATTGTATCACCAAGCTCTGGATACTCCAAAGTATCCAGGCTCACTATTCTGTTCTCACCAATATTTATAAAATCTTTTTTACGCGCAGAATGTTTGATTTGATTCTTCTGGCAAAGTTCTGGCCAAGGGTTGCTTGCACTAGCAAGTCCACTTGTGCTGTAGGAATATTTTAAAATAAATTCAAGGAGCAAACTCACGATGGTATATTGAATTTATCATTTTCTACTTTTAATATCGTATCTTTCTATACAAATGTTGATAAGTATGATGCAAAAAATTGCATACAATACTCACTGAAACGACCACGTCAGATTATCCATCTGTGATCTACGCATTCTACTTCACTTATGTGTAATCGTCGTAGCTTTTCTCGTCGCGTGCTCGTCCGATGCTAACAGTTCCCCGACGTTGCCATTTCTGCAGGAAATACTATTCATAATTGCTTAGAGTGCCCTTCACTAATCATCAGCTACGTAAAATATACGTCACTTACTAGAACATGTAAACAAAATTATACGCTGCACCTGTATTGCATTTATCGTCAAGCTAACCGATGAACGATTTTAGCCTCAACATCTAGTCACATCGATCATCGAAAAGAACTAACATCGAATTTATACGAATCGAACCTAAAATAGAATCGATCTGATTAAACAGCGAATACGTAAATATTGCGTATAAATGTTTTTGAGGTTATGTTTCGCGAGTAAACTGCGCACAGTAGAAGTTGCCAGCCATGATGACCCAGATTTAGCATAAGATAATTTTAACTACTCTCCGTCAGAGGGTACCACCACCGTGCATCGTTGTTTCCTCGAAGATTTTAACGAAAATTACGAGGAAGAATTCTCTTACAGGGGGATGCGTGAAAGTTATGGTACAATTTCGTGTACACTTTATCGCCTTGTAAAACAGCCCGTGTATCCGTACGAATTTTATTTTCACGAAGGTTCAACTCTGTATGCGAGTTTTTAATTAAGCCTGTGTGTTGTTGCAAGGGCGAGGATCCTCGCGGAATTCCCCCGCCTTTGAAAAACGACTTGATTAAGGAAGGCCAACCTAAAATGCAGCGCACGTAACGGTTAGTTGTAGGAAATTTTATGCATCGCCATCTACGAGAGGGAATATCAACGAAAGGGTTGAATTGTACACATATTTTATCATTCAGCTTACGTTTCTGCATACAAGTTCTTCTCCCTCTCGCAATATATTCCGCGCAATCGTTACATTTCTCCCACGAAAGTATTAAAAAACAAACACACTTGTAATTCTTTACCGTGCACGTTGCAACACCGTTCAAGCTGCAAAAAGAAACGCTCTTTTTCGCAAGCCGGGTAAAATATCGTCGAATTATTCAAAAGAACCCTGTGAAAGATACTAACCTATAAATTCCTCGATACACAAGAGCAAGATCGACCTTCCCATTACTCAAACTACAAAGCTCGACATCCTTCACCCACTCTCGCTTCCTCTATCTATCTCGTCGGCCATATTGATTTTCCCTCTGGATCCCGTAGCAACGTTCAACAACAATCTACTCACAACAAAATCTCTACGTAGCTGTTACACTCGAAACGTACCATCTAATTTACTACCACATATCATTATTCAACCCTTTCGCGACCACTCGAGTGCTCGAATGAAAATGCTTCTCGTTTCAATCGAGAAATACTTCGCGATGGGAATTTAACTCGGCGAACTAACCGTAGGGTTATATGAAAAAGAAAACAGATCTTCTCTGTTACTCGCGAGCTCGCCGGCACGTTACAAGAAATTACCTCTTCACGTTCGAGATTCTCTATTTACCGTCTCCCATGAAAATCGTCGAGCAGAAGGTGTCCAGCGCGCGGAAACGGCCCCACAGGGGGTGGCGAAGTGCTGCGCCGTCCAGCAAGGACCTGCGCACGTGAGACGGGCCGCGCGGCCCACCGCGCGGGATCAATAATATCCAGGGTATAAAAGATCCTGTTTCCGTAACGTGGCCACCTCTTCAGTTCCGGTGATCGGTGTGTCGCGCACCCTCTCGGCCTCGAACGTGTTAGTGGCATCTCTTCTTCCGTTATAACCGATTTCTCGCTTCTGAAAGAATAAAAAGGAGAGAGGTATACGAGCAGGTAGTCGATTAAGTGAACATAGAAATTAAGGTACCACGCACCAATATCGACACGTATATTGGTGTATAGAGAATAAGTAACTATTTCCCTATGGTCACACGGATGGTTTCTGTGTCTTGTTCCAACACGGCTCTATCAAGGCGTCGTATAACGTATTCGATAATTATTTATTAATTTTCAATTTTCCATTTCGGGGGAATAATCGTTCGAAATTTCGACGCCTCGAAGAGCGTACTGTAATTGTGATCACGTCGAATATCGATGATCTATTTAATGTAGAAGATCGGGCAGAGAAATTTTAGTGGATCGATCGAACGGGGATGATTAACCGTTTAATAAATTCACGGGGAATTCGTGTGAGACGGTGCACGGTATAGAAAGTGCATCGGCACGTGGCACGTAGTAATCGAACGCTCGCAGGAAAAATACGCGACGAGGACGAGGACGAGGACGACGAGGAATATATACGTATACTTTCACCGTGTAAATTTCTGGGCTGACGATTCGATCTGTATTCGTCGTGCGCATCGGGCATTACCACCGAAACCGTCCATGTGACTGTAATTAACACGTTAAGTACTTGGTAATCAGAAAGATGAACTTCTTACGAGATTTGCATACATCCACGAGACTGATGGCTTAAGGATTATACACTTCTCTTCTTAAGATCTTTCTTACTTTTTCCAAATATTGTTCTTCTTCATTGATCTATTGTCGTTTTGTGTATTTTTCTTTTTTTTTTTTTTTTTTCGTCTAATTTCTATTTTTCGTTTGTTCCACACGGAGTACCGTGTGGCATGGTGTAGGCCTCCTGGGGATCCCCGCCATGTAAAAAAACGGGAACGCGTTCCGGCACAGTACCCCACGGGTGACGAGGAAAGCTGTGCCATTTTTTATGTTCGTTCACCGACACACAAAACCCAGCTTTCCTTGTTTTCCACCCTTGCTTGCATGTTTCTTCTATTCTCCCTTAGTTTTGCTTTTCATTTCTCTCCAGCACAGTTTGCGCTAATTTAGGAAGCATACGCGCGTGTGTTGTACGTGCATTTTTCTGGGGGTTTGCCTGTTTTGCGTCGATTCGAGACGAGAACAAGAAGAGGCTAGAGCACACAAAGTGGTTAAAGTATTGTTCCACGGTTGAAGAAGTTTGAGCGGCTCTCGTCTCGAGCGAAGTAAACTGCTTTCATACTGTGCCACCTCGCTTCAAGCTCCCTTCAACTTTTCCCTCGTACCACTACCGCTGCCGTACACGCGGCCCTTCGTTATCTAGAGACGTCGTTTTCTTTCCAATTAATCCTTTGCACACTTTTTTATCCCCGTTTAACTGTGCAAGTAACGGGCAGCAATAACGACGAGTTTGTTTGTGGATTGTAGGACGGTGAGTGGGTGGGACAGTGGGACAATGGGGGAGTGGAGTAAGGTTGCTGGTGGATTTAACGAGCATGGTGGAACTGGAGGACGAGGAGAGACATTTTTTTGAAATTTTTGTTTCACGTTTTGTGACACGAATTTCGTCGATTTCACGGAAAAGGGTGACACTGTCGATATTTCTTTGTAATTCAATTTTTTAAAGTGACTTTCAACGTTGTTTCGTAGCGAAAGGAACCTAGAATTGGTAGGGAATAGTAATTTATATTGAATTAGGCAGATACTAACACACGATATTTCTTTGTAATTCAATTTTTTAAAGTGACTTTCAACGTTGTTTCGTAGCGAAAGGAACGTAGAATTGGTAGGGAATAGTAATTTATATTGAATTAGGCAGATACTAACACGAATTTCATCGATTTAACGAAGAAGGGTGTTTTTCGATTGAAAAAAGTGTGAAACATTCAACACTTTCGAAATTTTTCTATAATTCAATTCTTTAGAGTGCCTTTTCACCTTCGTTCCAAACGTAGAATTGGTAGGGAATAGTAATTTATATTGAATTAGGCAGATACTAACACGAACTTCATCGATTTAACGAAGAAAGGTGTTTTTCGATTGAAAAAAGTGTGAAACATTCAACACTTTCGAAATTTTTCTATAATTCAATTCTTTAGAGTGCCTTTTCACCTTCGTTCCAAACGTAGAATTTGTAGGGAATAGTAATTTATATTGAATTAGGCAGATACTAACACGAACTTCATCGATTTAACGAAGAAAGGTGTTTTTCGATTGAAAAAAGTGTGAAACATTCAACACTTTCGAAATTTTTCTATAATTCAATTCTTTAGAGTGCCTTTTCACCTTCGTTCCAAACGTAGAATTTGTAGGGAATAGTAATTTATATTGAATTAGGCAGATATTAACGCGAATTTCATCGATTTAACGAAGAAGGGTGTTTTTCGATTGAAAAAAGTGTGAAACATTCAACACTTTCGAAATTTTTCTATAATTCAATTCTTTAGAGTGCCTTTTCACCTTCGTTCCAAACGTAGAATTGCTAGAGAATACTAATTTATATTGAATTAGGCAGATAGCACGAATTTCACTGATTTAACGAAGAAGAGTGTTTTTCGATTGAAAAAAGTATCAAGAATTCAACACTACCGATATTTTTCAGTAATTCAATACTATAGAGTGAATTTTCATAATTCTCGTTAATCTTGCAATTTCCCTTCGACACGAAACTTGTTAACACAACAGAAAGGGGAAAAACCTGATTTTCAAACACTTCCAAAGAATCGAATTATCCTAAACACTGTTCGAAGAATAAAAAAAGAAAAAGAAGAATGTGTATCGATTGTGTGCAGCCGTTCTGGCTTGGAATTTCACTTTAATGGGAGAAATTTGTACCTGTTAACCATTAAACCGTTCTCGGCCCATTTCTTCGTCTCTATCCGTAGCTGACGCGTGTTTTCGCTCCTCGAGCAGTGATAACGATCGAATTCGCTGGAAAGTTTGATTAAAAGCCCAGCCTTCCTCGGGAATGATTCATTGTTTCGTGGAACCGGCGCATCGTTGCTGGAAACAGGTGATACCGGGAAAAACGTCGTCGCCGGAAACCAGGTGAAACCAAGGTTTCATTGTCCAGCTGTTTTCGTTTTATGTTCACGCCCGCGCGCGACAGTAAAAGTCTGCGAACTTTGCAACGTTCTACGACGAAACAAACGTCGCTTTTGTTTGCTAGGGAAACCGGTGATTAGGAATTTTCCCTCTTCGTGGGATATCCGGTGTTTCCTTTCTTTTTCTTCTTTTTTTTAATAACACGGATTCGGTGAGACAGTCTGTGTGTCCTTTTAACGAGTGCAGTTTGAAGTCGAAATGATTTTCCTCTTAGTGGGATATCCGGTGTTTTCTTTTCAAATTTTAAACAATTTTCGAATTTTCCTTAATTTTATTTCAATTTTCTTTTAAGAGGAAGTTTTCAAGTAGTAACAATCTTATCAACGAAGGTTTTAGTTTTCAAAATTGGCTATGATAAAAATTATGAGTAATTTTTGAAGTGGAAATCATTTTCCTCTTCGTCGGATATCAGGTGTTTTCTTTTCAAATTTTAAACAGTTTTCCAAATTTCTGAAGTCGAAACAATCTTATCAATAAAGGTACCAATTTTCAAAATTGGCTACCATCAAAATTATTCCT